CGAGTGGTGAGGGTTTGTTTCCACACGGGACTATTAGGGTGGTGCACGGCTTCAGTGTCACATGGGATTTGTTTTCATTCTGTACTCAGCCCGTTGGTTATTAGCGTCATTAGTTGGGCTATGAAGGGTTGCTAGCAAGTTGTCAGCTTTGCTTAGCATTATTCGAAGTCACAGATGTATGTAGGTGAGTGTTGTTGTTTTTAACTGTGTTTGTGTCTCAGTAAGTCGCCGTCTATGCGCAATATGATTTCATTCTCAGTTATATTTTTTCAGTTCGTTAATTGGCTCGTGTTTTCTTTAAAAGTTAAATAAACACTTGAAACGTATATTTTGACTCTGCAAATGTCTCTTCTCCACACTACACCTTGGACACGTGACACCCATGCCTCTTAAATACTTAACAAAATTAGTTTTAAGTATTAAGAAATGCTGACAATCAATCCTAACCAGAAGATCCTAGCGAGACTGTGTTCCCCTCAATATTACAAATTCTTGACACCTGAAGGAAAGGGTTTCTCCTGCACCATTCCCAGCGGATTCTACCACCCTGTTATGTCCGTGGATTTGTAGGACTTGTTTGTTAGGGGTGGCATGCATGTTGCTTCATTACAACTTGTTGGCTGTGTGTGTGTGTTGAAACGAGGAAACCAAGATTCCCAGAATTGTCCACAGAATATAATATAATTGTTTTGATCACACACGCATACTGCTATCGAAATGGCCACTTCAGGGTGCCACAATCAGGATAAGATGTATTACAATCAGTGCGAGGGAAAGGCCTTAAGTACATACTTATGTTGCTAAGAAACAGACAGAATACAAGATTCAAGTTCTGTGGCAAACATGAACAACACATTCAGATCCGCCTCTGAGCTGCAGTTCATGTCGTTTATATTATAAATACGGACAGGTGGATGGATACAGGCACAGTACAAGAACACCTTTCTTGAGTTCCGTCTTTGAACTGGCCTTATTTCTTCGTAAATGTAAATACATTTCCCAACTGTACAGATTAAGTAAAGAAATACTTAGGGATGCTGATATCATTCAACAGTAAATAAATTACAATTGCAAAGGCCAATGTGATAAGTCACAATTAAAGTCTGATTCGTCTGTATATGCATTGTGTTCTGAATAGTGCAAAGTATATTTACGTAAAATATCCTTTGTATTTTTACTTTAACCTCCCGGCAGAACTTTTGTGTACATTCCACATTTCCTGAATGACATTGATTGCACTCACAAATGTAATCTCCCTAACACAGCTTTTCTTTTCATCTACAGCTGCACTCTAACATGGACCGAGGGGAAGGTAATGTGAAGTACATTCTCACCGGAGATGGTGTGGGGAGCTTGTTTCTAATAGATGAGAACTCAGGTGACATTCACGCCACCAAGAGGTTGGACAGGGAAGAGAGGGCCATATACACGCTCCACGCTAAGGTGGTGGACAAAAGGACCAACGAAACACTGGAGGCCGACACTGAGTTTAACATCAAGATCCACGACATCAATGACAATGAGCCAAAGTTCTCGAAAGAAATATATTTTGCCAGTGTCCCGGAGATGTCCGATGTAGGTGAGTAAAAAATAGTCCTTTGCACCAAGGCTTACCCTTTGGGATCTTTTTTACTACAATGACAATTATACGTGGTCAGAGTCTTCATGACATCTTGTAGTTTACCTCATTGCGCAGGAATTCCTTAAGGCCCACTTCTACTAAGTTAAAATACTACTATGTTTAAAAATGGTTGTACCATGGTACATCCAGGCAGCTATTTGATTTTGAGTATTACAATCTATGTCGGGAAACCATTTTACTATTATTATAAAATTATATGGAAAACTTCAGTCAATAAATACCTACATGACAAAACAAAGAAAATCCCCTGCAAATCAATACGCAAAAGGATTATACTGGAAAAATCCAGAAGAAACACAACATTGTGAAAAAAGTCTCTGTCATAAACACACACTAATATAGAATATGATGATATCTCCCACTGTCTTGGGAGCAAACAAATGACTCCAGAAGGCGTGAATACAAACAAAGCTTTAGAAATGCAAATAGGAAACTGGTATCAATTTCCAATTATGGGGCCACAAATAAAATAGAATGTTGGCTTCCAAATATAAAGGCTCCATAAAGCATTTTCAGTGGCCTCATACATACAAGTGTGTACATACACGTGTCTACAAAGCATCATATTTAACTGTGTGTCATGCTTTATAAAGGGTTAATGAATGTAGCATCCGTTCAACTGAGAATTGCCTCACAAAATATTAGCATAATTTGAACATGCCGTCATTTAGACCTGGTCTTCCCCATGGTAACAGAAGAGGAATACCTCTCTGGAAATTAGGTTGTCTCAGGTATGAATACATTTTGGGACTGACACAAATGAACACACAAATACAATCTTTGCATGTCCTTAAACCCTTTGGTAACATGCAGAGGTTAAACTACACATCACACATCTGTCAACACATCAAAACGCCTTTAATGGGCCAATAAATGTAGAATCTCATCACTATGGGATTGTTCTGCAAAATAACACATTCAGACATGTGTTTATTTCCTTTGTGAACAGTTTATGGTACACTCTCATGTTCTGTTGGCCAGATTCTGGGCTAACTACATATTTTCTTTGGACCTCAAGAAGAGTAGCTTCCTGCTGGCAGTAGCCAATGAGAAGCAGGAGAAATCCCTGTGTTTGGATTTCATTTACTCATTACTCACCAGAATTGGGCAAAGTTGGTGTTTAAACCTTGAATCCGTGTCACATTAAAGGATTTTGAGATTTTGGTCACACAAATACATTTTGAATATTTGGACAATTTGGGAAAGTCAAACCATCCATGCAGCGTTTGGTGCTTCTATGGAAATGTTTTATATCTATGTCTTGCCATGCAAAAGTGGTGCAGTAAGGCCAATTGTAGGTAAATAAAATGCATATGTTGCTGCATTCAGCACTTGTTTAAGAGAGTGGCCTTTGCAATTGCTTGGATGAAAGACTGTAAGTAAGAAAAAGCTTTTTTTACGTGCAGTGGAATACATTAAGGTATTATTAGCAAACATGTTAATGTTGACATTGTCAATCTTAATGCCATAATTATACTGTGCCTTCCTGAATGATTGCATTCCCTTGGTAACAATAATTTCAAAAGGCTCTGAATAAATGTCCTAATTGTAACCAGCTTGATATTATAAATAAAACCTAAGAGAAATCTAACCTATAATTGAGTAGTACAGATAGTACCATCACATACATAGTTTTTTGGAGGTAGACATTAGCACTTGGGCCATCAACCTGTTAATTAAACGAGAATGACCAACTGGATGAAAAGGCCCCTGACAGGTCTATTAAAATGGCAAACCTTGTTTTCCAAGGCAATATACTTTACAGCCATTATGGTAGCAGGCTCGGTGTGGTATCAAGGTCTAAACTGATTGATGCATATTCAAAATCACACAGTTTCAGGTCAGAATTAATCATTTGTAAATCTACAGCTAACTTTAATATTTGCATGACAAAATGATTTAGGAATTGGTTAGTAAGTTGTAGAACATATACTTATTGCCACACTTTTGGAATAACTCTCATGATTTGAGATACAAAATCTAGGTTACTAAACCAGCAGTCAATGTCTTTAAATCATCAAATGCGCCTAAAAACATTACATCGTTTTGAACGTTGCATTTCTAATGGCACGGCACACAACATCTATGAAGTAATCAAGTAAGCCACTGACCTATTATAAACATCTTGACCACTAGGCTATTCTCCCGCAACTTTATTGGCACCTTATGCATTCATTACATGTGTTCAGAATGTACACAACCTTTCAAAAGTTTGTGGTCACATAGAAATGTTTTTTTGTATCCATCAGATCAATTACATTTTTTGTTACAAACCTCAAAATACAGAACTTGTTCACGTCGGAAAAGTGCGCTAACATGGTTCCACAAGGATTCTAAGTTCTTGCTCACTGCAAGAATTTAGTCTCCAAATGTTTGGTTGCAGAATTGTGACTTAGTAATATATGTTTAAACTTCATTAGGCAAGCTGGTGAAATATTGCTTGCAAACACAAACTGAAGTACAGATTTGCAAAGAAAAGGTTGCAAGTACATGCCTAAATGTACAAGCTTGCGTAATGGAATTTGAACATCGTTGCATGCGAACACAAACTGAATAAACAACTTTTTAAAGTTATGCAATCAATATACGACCACAACATTTTAGGCACACAGTGACAGAGTTTTGACACGTTTACTATTCCACACCTGAGAGACTTTAAGTGGTATTCTGCTCAATAAATTCCCTCTTATAGGGAATCCCTCTCGATTATTTCAAATATGTTTTTGGGGGAATACAGGTGTGCTTAAATTTGTTGGTACCCTTTACAAAAAAATATCAAGAATGCATATTTCCTCTGAAATAACAAACTGACAAAAGTGATTGGCATTCACCATTGTTAATTTCATATTTTCTAGAAATCTGACTTTTTCAACATACTATTGTAATACATAAGACAAATGAAAATGGAATGGACAAAAATGAATCCCCCATTAACCTAATATTAAGTTGCACGACCTTTAGAGGCAATCATTGCAATCAAAAGTTTCTGTAGCTCTCAATGAGTCTTCTGCACTTGTTAACAGATAGCTTGGCCCACTCTTCCTGAGTAAGCTGGTTCCGCTGTCTGAGGTTCCATGTTTGCTTTTTCCAGACTGCGAGTTTCAGCTCTTTCCATAGATGTTCCATAAGATTCAGATCAGGACTCATAGAAGGCCACATAAGGACAGTCCAATGTTTTGTTCTCATAGATCATTGGGTACTTTTAGATGTATGTTTTGGGTCATTATCCTGTTTGAGGACCCATGACCTGTGGCTGAGACAGAGCTTTTTGAGACTGGGCAGTATATTCTTTTTATTTTACTTTTATTTAACCAGGTAGGCCGATTGAGAACAAATTCTAATTTGCAACAGAGACCCGGAAAGAAGCTGGGAATTGCACCTAGCACATCATGCACCCAAAGCATGCACTCTACTAGCTGAGCTACAAACTCCATCCAGTACATTTATCTTCAGAATGATTTCATTCTGCCATGCACAGATTCAAAGCAAAACGGTCCCCAAAACATAACCGAGCCTCCACCATGATTCTTTGCATGTATGGACTCGTATGTTCTTTTCTTTGAAAGCTTCAATGTTTTATCTACAAACATAGAGCTTATGAGACCCAAAAACCTCTATATTTGACTCATCTGCCCAAAAGACATTCTCCCAGAGGAATTGTGGCGTGACAATATGCATTTAGCAAATTTCTGCCGGCTTTTTAAAAAAAATTCTGGCGTAATCAGAAACTGACATAACAGCTTCTATCTCTTTGGCGGTCTCCTTTGTTCTTTTGCTACCCTTCACACTATGCTTCCGTTCAACCTGGGGTCGATATTCTTCTCTTGCGGCTGTGCCCAGGGTGGTTGGCTATGGTTTCATAGAATATTTGTAACTGTTGTTACAGGAACACCAAGTTGCTTGGAAATGGACCTGTGGCCTTTTCCTTCACCATGTTTGTCTATTATTTTCTATCTGATCTCCACAGACAACTCTGTTTTGCTTTCTCTGGTCCATGTTCAGTGTGGTGCACACAATGATACCAAACAGAACAGTGACTACTTACATCCATTTAAATAGGCAGAATGACTGATTACAAGATTGGAGACGTGTGTTACTAATTAAAGAAACTAATTAGGTTGAAATACCACTGTTATCCAATTATTTATTATCTTTCTAAGGGGTACCAACAAATGTTTCTGGGCCATTTTAGAATATATTTGTAGAAGGAACCATAATTCATTTCTTTTGACAGTTTTTTTTGCATTATTCTCTGACATACCAAATCAGCATGCATACATGATTCAAAAGCTTTTATAGCCACCACTTTTTAACTGGAATTAAGCATGATTTCAATGAGCTGTAAGGGTACCAACAGATTTAAGCGCGCCTGTATGTATAATGACGCAGGAAATGCGCTAGCTCCATGGGAAAGGTAATTAGGTTCTGTGCAACATAAATTGCAGGGCTTCACACATTTTGCCTCCCATTCCGCTTGATAGCATATCAAATTAATGGGTCAAGTGTAATTATACAGACTTATATACATGCAAGAATATTCCAATACACATGTATTGTTAATGTGAATGGTTTTGAATGTTAGCATGAGCATTATCATGGATGTATGGATACACACATTACATGGGATGTTCGCGTTGTCATGGATGTATGGATACACACATTACATGGGATGTTAGCGTTGTTATGGATGTATGGATACACACATTACATGGGATGTTCGCGTTGTCATGGATGTATGGATACACACATTACATGGGATGTTAGCGTTGTCATGGATGTATGGATACACACATTACATGGGATGTTAGCGTTGTCATGGATGTATGGATACACACATTACATGGGATGTTCGCGTTGTCATGGATGTATGGATACACACATTACATGGGATGTTAGCGTTGTCATGGATGTATGGATACACACATTACATGGGATGTTAGCGTTGTCATGGATGTATGGATACACACATTACATGGGATGTTAGCGTTGTCATGGATGTATGGATACACACATTACATGGGATGTTAGCGTTGTCATGGATGTATGGATACACACATTACATGGGATGTTAGATTGGATGTATGGATACATGGATGTATGGATACACACATTACATGGGATGTTAGCGTTGTCATGGATGTATGGATACACACATTACATGGGATGTTAGCGTTGTCATGGATGTATGGATACACACATTACATGGGATGTTAGCGTTGTCATGGATGTATGGATACACACATTACATGGGATGTTAGCGTTGTCATGGATGTATGGATACACACATTACATGGGATGTTAGCGTTGTCATGGATGTATGGATACACACATTACATGGGATGTTAGCGTTGTCATGGATGTATGGATACACACATTACATGGGATGTTAGCGTTGTCATGGATGTATGGATACACACATTACATGGGATGTTAGCGTTGTCATGGATGTATGGATACACACATTACATGGGATGTTAGCGTTGTCATGGATGTTATGGATACACACATTACATGGGATGTTAGCGTTGTCATGGATGTATGGATACACACATTACATGGGATGTTAGCGTTGTCATGGATGTATGGATACACACATTACATGGGATGTTAGCGTTGTCATGGATGTATGGATACACACATTACATGGGATGTTAGCGTTGTCATGGATGTATGGATACACACATTACATGGGATGTTAGCGTTGTCATGGATGTATGGATACACACATTACATGGGATGTTAGCGTTGTCATGGATGTATGGATACACACATTACATGGGATGTTAGCGTTGTCATGGATGTATGGATACACACATTACATGGGATGTTAGCGTTGTCATGGATGTATGGATACACACATTACATGGGATGTTAGCGTTGTCATGGATGTATGGATACACACATTACATGGGATGTTAGCGTTGTCATGGATGTATGGATACACACATTACATGGGATGTTAGCGTTGTCATGGATGTATGGATACACACATTACATGGGATGTTAGCGTTGTCATGGATGTATGGATACACACATTACATGGGATGTTAGCGTTGTCATGGATGTATGGATACACACATTACATGGGATGTTAGCGTTGTCATGGATGTATGGATACACACATTACATGGGATGTTAGCGTTGTCATGGATGTATGGATACACACATTACATGGGATGTTAGCGTTGTCATGGATGTATGGATACACACATTACATGGGATGTTAGCGTTGTCATGGATGTATGGATACACACATTACATGGGATGTTAGCGTTGTCATGGATGTATGGATACACACATTACATGGTTAGATGGATGTATGGATACGGGATGTTAGCGTCATGGATGTATGGATACACACATTACATGGGATGTTAGCGTTGTCATGGATGTATGGATACACACATTACATGGGATGTTAGCGTTGTCATGGATGTATGGATACACACATTACATGGGATGTTAGCGTTGTCATGGATGTATGGATACACACATTACATGGGATGTTAGCGTTGTCATGGATGTATGGATACACACATTACATGGGATGTTAGCGTTGTCATGGATGTATGGATACATTACATGGGATGTTAGCGTTGTCATGGATGTATGGATACACACATTACATGGGATGTTAGCGTTGTCATGGATGTATGGATACACACATTACATGGGATGTTAGCGTTGTCATGGATGTATGGATACACACATTACATGGGATGTTAGCGTTGTCATGGATGTATGGATACACACATTACATGGGATGTTAGCGTTGTCATGGATGTATGGATACACACATTACATGGGATGTTAGCGTTGTCATGGATGTATGGATACACACATTACATGGGATGTTAGCGTTGTCATGGATGTATGGATACACACATTACATGGGATGTTAGCGTTGTCATGGATGTATGGATACACACATTACATGGGATGTTAGCGTTGTCATGGATGTATGGATACACACATTACATGGGATGTTAGCGTTGTCATGGATGTATGGATACACACATTACATGGGATGTTAGCGTTGTCATGGATGTATGGATACACACATTACATGGGATGTTAGCGTTGTCATGGATGTATGGATACACACATTACATGGGATGTTAGCGTTGTCATGGATGTATGGATACACACATTACATGGGATGTTAGCGTTGTCATGGATGTATGGATACACACATTACATGGGATGTTAGCGTTGTCATGGATGTATGGATACACACATTACATGGGATGTTAGCGTTGTCATGGATGTATGGATACACACATTACATGGGATGTTAGCGTTGTCATGGATGTATGGATACACACATTACATGGGATGTTAGCGTTGTCATGGATGTATGGATACACACATTACATGGGATGTTAGCGTTGTCATGGATGTATGGATACACACATTACATGGGATGTTAGCGTTGTCATGGATGTATGGATACACACATTACATGGGATGTTAGCGTTGTCATGGATGTATGGATACACACATTACATGGGATGTTAGCGTTGTCATGGATGTATGGATACACACATTACATGGGATGTTCGCGTTGTCATGGATGTATGGATACACACATTACATGGGATGTTAGCGTTGTCATGGATGTATGGATACACACATTACATGGGATGTTCGCGTTGTCATGGATGTATGGATACACACATTACATGGGATGTTAGCGTTGTCATGGATGTATGGATACACACATTACATGGGATGTTCGCGTTGTCATGGATGTATGGATACACACATTACATGGGATGTTAGGATATGTGCATTATCTCTATTTTGTCGTTCACAGGTACGTCCGTTATTCAAGTCACTGCAACCGATGCTGACGATCAAACATACGGGAACAGTGCCAAGCTGGTGTACAGCATCCTACAGGGTCAACCATATTTCTCTGTGGATTCAGACAATGGTAAGCTTGACTTCCTAAATGCACATGCAAAACAGTTGAATGATGAGATCATGTGTATTCTACTCTGCAAATATAGTCACAGCACATCAGCATGGGTTGATTGTTTTAAAAATGTTAGCCAGGTGCAATCTGTGTTAGCCAGGTGCTATCAAGCGTTCATTGTTTAATATAGGGTAAATGCTAGCATGGCTACAATGGCCATGACAATTTGGGTGAGTGGGTTCGTTTTGTGTGAAATAACTTAATAACTTGTGTTTAGTATTGAATGGTTAACAATGCAGCTGGTATGACTGACAGATGCCAGTTTGAGAAGTGTGACATGGACATTTTCTTGGATGTGCTTCCCATTTAATTACAACAAACCATATACTTTGTATTGGCTGACAGGGACATAGCTGAATCGGCATTGTAATGGGCATTTTATAATTGAGGACTCCCCTCCTTACCAACTCGGCTGTCTCAGTTATAGTCAATCAATTCACAATGCCAAGTAAT